CGCACCTGGGCACAGGTGAGCACCGCCAGCATCCTTGCGGCGCGCGGCGGCCAGGTAAGCCGGGGATGATGCAGGGCTGGGGGAAGGGATGGAGGGGGGTTTAAAAAAAAAGGGGGGGGAGGGAATGCGAGGGTCTCATCCAGCAGGGATGCTGAGCCCCTGGAGGCACCGCTTGCGCCCCTCCCCGGTTGCCAAAAGGACGGACTCCGTGCCAGCAGGAAGGATGCGCAGAGGGACAATGTATCTTTTTCTCTGTTTATTTTGTTTTAAAAAGATGATTTGTTTCCCCCAGCGCCTTTTCCCCCTTGAAGAAGGACTATTAGGAACAGCGCAACCACACTGTGCTGAACAGCTACATTTTAAATAGAAATATTATTTCCTTTTAAATGGTTGACCAACTTACTATGTTTCCAGTTATGTAAGCCCCACCTTGGTTCCTTTTTTTAAAAAAGGAGAATGGCAGGGCAAAAATATTTTGAATAAATAAACTAAATAGCTGAAAAATAAATATATTTATATTACGAATGGCACTGGATTCCATCTGGATACTGCGGTTCTGCTGTAATATATTAGAACGGCACAGCTGGGAGGGACCCTCTGGGTCATCCAGTCCAGCCCCTGTCAAGAAGACCCAGGGAAAATTCGAACTCCCAACCCCAGACACCTAAACCACTGAGCCATCCAGCCGTTCTAAATATTAAATTTTTTTTTAAAATCCCAGCCATTCAGAGTTAGGTTGTAAAGTCAACTGAGAGATGCGGTTTCCAGCAATTTAAAAATGCTTTCCTTTTTCTTTTCTTTTTTTCTTCAGTAGCGCGTCTTACCATTTTGACACAGGGTGGATTTGATTTAAAACAAATAGATTTAAATTGCAGAGTGGATTTTAAAAAGCCCCTTTATTCCTCCTTCTTTGCTTTAAATATTGTCTTTTCATGATGTCAACCGCCGTTGTACACTTATTATTTTTAGCTTTAAGAGTAGTTGAAACTGACCAGATCGGCGGGATATAAATATAATAAATAAATAAACATTGTCTTACGTTATTTGCTGTCAGCTGCCCGGGGGGGTGTCTTTTTTTCAAGGAGAAAGGCGGGGCAAATATTGTTTTAAAATAAATAAATAAAAGAGCACAAAAATCAATGAAGTTTTTTTAAAAAAAAACACACACCAAAATGTAATTAAAAAATAAACATTGATTTTTATCCATTTTAAAACATAGATTTTTAGCCGCCTAGAGTGGCCCTGAGTTGGCTAGATAGGCGGGATGATGATGATGATGATGATGATTGATAATA